TTTGAGAAACATAGTTCCCTTTTCTGCTGGTTCTCTAATAATGCCTGTAATAATTATCGATATTCCTGTCTGTTAATAATCCGCTGTTTTTTCATACATAATACAATCCAGTGTTTTTCACAGCTTGTTAGTCATCAATTTTACTAATATGTAACATTTTATATTTTGTAAATTTTATGGTAATTAGTCAAAAAAAATGATTTGTTGATAAGCTTCTGTTTTTTTAATATATAATTCAAATAACATGCATGTGTGTGTGCACACCCCAACACAACGCATATTATATCAAAAATTCATTGTACATTGTAATAATTACCATCAAATGATTATTATACCATGCTTAGACGACATATTCTAACCAACATTTTAGTTTCCATGCATAGTTGGATCATATAATATATTGGTGGTTATATTACCGTGGTTGAAACCTCTATTTTATCTTTTTTTTTTTAACGCACAATTAGGTATTTAATATTATAATACCGATTTATATTTGATCCAAATGAGCACTAATGGGTTAGCAAGAACTCTCTTAATATAATTTTCTTTAATTATAGAAGGGGGAAAATGCTTCCCCTATACTTATTACTATTTTTTAAAAAAAATTAAATAATTTTATTTTTATAAAAAGAAATTCTACCCCCAGCTGAAATATGAAAATGTAACACTCCCCATTTGTCTTATTCTTTTTTTTTATCCCATGGTACAACTACATTAGACAACTATAGAAAAGCCCAACGACTAGGTTTGGACCGGATTCAAGTGATACTTTGGACCCAAAACTGTCAACATTCCTTCAGGTCGTGAATATATGATTGAGTCTAGTTGATGTAGTCCCAAACATGTTTGGAAAAAATTAATTTATTTTTTTATGTTTCTCACATTTAATATCCTCATTGAAATAGGGGTATTTTATGAAAAATGACAAAAAAATTTTCATATAATAATAACAAATAATCAATTTAATTAATTTTTTTAATTTTTATAAATTATTTTATTAAGTCTTTTATTTAGGACTCAGCATACAAATGTGGTCCTTATTATAAATAAGTCACTTGTAGAATAAATTTTTATTTAAATACAAGTCATTTGTAGGATATTTAATGACTTTTTTCTAATTTTATTTTTATTTAATTCTTGTTGAGAGAAAGAGAAGAGACAAATGCGAATGAATTGTAAGTATAGGGAAAAAAAAACAGAGAACAAAGAAAACATTAATAATAGTGAAGTTGAAAAATTATAATTATATATCAACTTAAAGCATTCTTCAATATATGAGAAAGTGTTACAAATAAGTCCTAGTAACAATCAAAGCGTGACAGTAATAGAAAGAGAAAAGGGGGGGGGGAGGATGGGACATGGTAGTGGTGTCTAGTAAGATAAAGAGTATGCAGAAGGATTAGTTAGAGTTTTGTCGTTTAATTAGTCAACTTTAGACATCACACAGCACACCAATTAGAAAATCTGTCATTATATTTTGAAGTGTAAGAATGATTTATTCACTCCAACACTTCACCTAAACCCTATCTCTTTAGTTAACTGTTATCTCTACCCTTTCTTCTCTGTGAGGGTTGAAAAAACTGTTATTATCTTTGCTTTCTCTATGTTCACTAACACACCCTATTATAATATCAAGTCTCGTACTCATTAAGCTTTCAACTCCAATTAGAAATACCACATAACTCCTCCACTTCACTGGATATAATAAAGTAATGACAATCAAATGTTATTTCAGCTTCTTTAACTTACTTACATCATGTAAGACTCCAGGACATTTTTCCATTGAAGAAGAAATTGAATTTGCGGTTGAAATAAAATAATTTCCCCCTAAAAAGTGAATTGAATTTGCTTAACATGTTTGATAATAACTGTGACAAGAAACAAATATTATTCACTCAGACAAGAAAACGTCCAAGGATGTGCATGTGGACGTAAGGCACTCTCTGGGAGGGTTATATAATTAATGTCTAACAAACGGGTTTACCCAAAGTTAATAAGAAACAAAGAACCAATACTGGGTCTGAGATTGGAATAATTAAGGTTTCTTATAGAATCGTATTCTGGGAAATTCTAGTTTAATTTAGGCCTATGACAAAAGACCAATGGCTTTGCAAAGGACTAGAAAAGCTATTAGAGAGGGATCGAGAGAGTTTGTGAAGATATTTGCATTTATCTGACCCCTAATAATTAAAAAATTGGATCTTCAACATTCAGCTATCATTTCTTGAAACTTTTGTTTCGTGTAAAATATAAATATATAATAATTAAATATGCCCACGAGATGCTCATCCATATATATCTATATATTTGTACTTAGTATTGAATTAGACACTCAAGCTCTTTTCTTTCATCTCTCTCTCTCTCTCTCTCTCTCACACACACACCCACACACCCACGACGCACTCATAAAGCCACAGAAGAATTAGATTAATTGATTACCATAATATTTATAAAGAAATCCTTCTTGCTAGCTTGCTAGCCAGGAAGTTGTTTACTTGTGGGCATTGAATTATCGTCAATATAATTTCTTTTGGATTCCGAAATGTTTTTTTTTTAAAAAAAATTATGTTACGGAACAGTCAGGTTAATTAATGAATTGACCAGTAAGGAACAACTGGGATATTCATATAACAAAATGGAGAGCCAAGGCCCGGAATGAGTGTAACTAATTAATTTAAAAGTAATTAATTAGAAATAAAATTGTGCAGTACTGTTTCGTGTTGTGGGGGCAAAACAACAACAATAATTGTTGTTTAATTTTAACCATCATAAGGGCTTACAGAAACTCACATGCATGGTTTCATGAGCTATTATCGTAATTGATCAAATTATTGAAATTATTATTTGGGGGGGGGGGGGATTTAATAGTTCACTTGCTTACATTATGTTTAGTTTTTCTGTACTCTACTTTGTGCCACATGAATATAGATTAGGAGAATATTAGAAATCATAATGATTGTAGGGAATTTTAAAGCGTATGATTTGATAGGTTAAGGGATTTTTTTTTCTTCTGACGGGGGTCATATATTGGACAATTTCCATGGCTATCATTATGAGCAACTATTTGATAATTATTCTGTTTAATGCTGAAGTTATTAACAATGGACGGATAATCGATTGATTGAAGAGACTTAATATTCTCTAAGGGTGTGTTTGGTAAGAGGGAAATGGAGAGGAGGAAAGAGAGAATTTTAATGAGCTCATTTTAAAAAATTAGAGGAGTAGGATTATAAAATTTTGATAAAAAAATGTAACATAAAAGAGTAAGAAAAATTAGTTAAAAAATTTTAATCCCAATTCTTAAATGTTTCAAAAAGAGCTTATTAAAATTTTCTCTTTCCTTCCCTTCTTTTCATTTCTCTCATGCCAAACAGACCCTAAACAAAGTTGTTATTTTGATGAATTCTTTGAGTCTTGTAAATGATAAAAATAAATCCACTGCGATAGTTTCTATTAAAGTCTCAGAGAGCGTTTAGGTGGGAAACAAACGTAGTTTTAAAAGTAATTTTATAGTATACGAAATATATATACGAGTAGAATTTTATCTCAACTTACATAAAAGTACTTTTTTAAGGTGTTTTTTTTTAGTGAACCAAACACCTCCTTAATGTGATTACTTGAATCTAAATTAGTTGATAAATAAAGGTAATATTAACCTAACTTATACAATCCAAAATACTCATCTGGTCCGGATCCTAGTTATAAAATACTTTTAATATGTTTTACTGAAATCTAAAAAAATAGTAAATTAAACTTCACTAATTCTGTTTCAGAATTTAATATCTTCATAAATTTAGCTCTAATTAAGGGTAATTAAGCCAAATTATTCTCAGTGTTTAAATATAGTTTCTTATAGAGTTGAAAGACCCACCAAAGTGGACTTAATCAGGGACCCCAATATGTGTGTTTTTTCGTAGGCTTACGTGTAAGTCTGAAGATAATCAATTATTCACCATGCTCATGTTTTTCCATTCAGTTGAAAATTCTCATGTACGTGCGTAATTGTGACTACTCCCACATTTAATTTTTTCTTTGCAAATGCATGCATACTTTGGAAGATTGTGATTAAGCTGTAAGTGCTTGTTCTTGAAGTTAGTTTATATTTGGGCACTGTCGGGGGTAACATATATGTAGAAAAACCCTGGTCTAGTGGTCTTTTCGATAGAAATAATTAATACGAATTACTTTTCAAATGAATATTAATTCGTTAATATGTAAAAGACACTCAATTTGACGTTTGAGAGAGACCCCCCTTCCCTCTCATGATGAGTAGTGAACCTGAAGATTCTATTTCCAGCTCATTTCTCATTTCATGATAACATTAATGGGACCATTTGATTCTTTCTTTTCTTTTCTTTTCTTTTACCTTTCTTTTTTGTTTACTCTTTTCATTATTTGTTTCTTGGATCGGTATATTATAATCTTGATCCTTGGCTTATTGTAGATCAATCTTGATCTTTTTTTTTTTGTTATAATTTGAGCTTGATATGTTCTACTATTGTTTTTTTTTGTTGAATCAGTTACATTAAGTTAATACTTACCCTCATATTAAACAATATTTACCTTAAAAAAGTTCGCTCTAGCAATTATCAATAATGAACTGAACAGAAAATATCAACCTTTGTGTGTTTTCTTTTCTTTTGTCTTTTGATACAGATCTTGTGAAAAATTAATCTAGATTCACATACATATATTGCATTCTAAACAGACCCAGCTTATGATTTTTTTTTAACCACAAGATTTGAAAAATTATCATAATAAAAAGGAATGATGTATATAATAAAATCTTGTTTGAGAAGTTATATTCAATTTTTCAATAACATAAGAAATCGTCCACACTTGTATTGGATAGTCCCAGGAAATGTCAAGACTAGAATAATGCATGGGGTTGATATTGTTATTATTAATGATAAAATATTAAAATAAAGAAAGGTGTGTGGTGTTATATATATAAACGCTGAGGTGGTAAGGTCATATTGCATTGTCCAAGAGCAGTAATTGGTAGAGAGTGATCGAAGAAGAAGAGAGTGAGATCGATGGGCCATCGTTGCTGCAGCAAACAGAAGATCAAAAGAGGTCTGTGGTCTCCTGAAGAAGATGACAAGCTCGTCAAATTCATTACCACTCATGGCCATAAAAGCTGGAGTTCTGTTCCTAAACTTGCAGGCACGTACACCATAATCTCTCTCTCTCTCTCAAATTAATGGAAGAATAATAGAATATGATCATTGATGAATATATATACATATATGAATCATTGTGTAGGGTTGCAGAGATGTGGGAAAAGTTGCAGACTGAGATGGATAAACTATCTGAGACCTGATCTCAAGAGAGGTTCCTTCACTGCCGATGAAGAACAAACCATTCTCGACGTTCATCGAATTCTCGGAAACAGGTAACTCAAACTCAATTCATTTCGCATCTTTCACATTGTTAATTTACACTCTACCTAATACCCAGTTGCCATCCATCGATCGCAATGCAAATATAATGCAATTATTTGCTTCTCTCGACCACTTCAAAAGGATTTAATATTTCTCTGTTAGTCTTATATATATAGTTACATCTTTGCATGTTGCTGGAGATCCTTGTTATACTAATATTGTTCTCATATACCAGTTGATGCAATTAGAAATGTCAAATTTTGAGCTGAGCTACAGTCAATGCATCGCAAAACTGTTCACTGTACTTAAATTTGGGGGATTACTTCCTCGGATCTAAATAACTAATATTCACATAAATTGAAAAAAAAAAATTCAGTTGTTTATTTAAAAAAATGTGTTAGTTTTCCTAATATAGCCTTCATTTCAATCAATGAGTAGTTTTGGGGGAAAATAATAATAAATGTGGAGACAAAAAAATGACGTTAATGTAGGACAAAAGCAGAAACCTCAGCTGACTCTTATATTGAATGTTTCAAATACATAATAATTTATTTGAAATTAAGGAACAATATGAAAGCGGAGTACGCATTATTAAAATTTTAAAAGAAAATCTTCCGTAGTGATTTCTCTTAGCTTACTTGTTTTCCCCCCTCATACTATATGTTTGACTTTCCATAAATCTGAATTAAAAAGGATTACCCGGGACACCCGCTATTCTATTATTCCTGATATCCGACTCACATTCTAGAAGCACTGGAAATTAAATTCCGCCCAGGAAATTACAAGACAAACACACAAAACACACACACACACACACACACATTGATGTGAATTAAGGATTTATTTTGTGTTGTGGTTGTAGATGGGCTCAGATAGCTAAGCATCTACCGGGAAGAACAGACAACGAGGTGAAGAATTTCTGGAACTCATGCATTAAGAAGAAACTCATTTCTCAGGGCTTTGACCCTCAGACTCACAATCTCCTCTCTTCTCACAGACGACCCTCTCTTTCTGTTTCTTCCTCTTCTGCCACTAACAATGATCATAACAATGATTCCACTTTCAAACTGGTTCATGAACCTGAAAACATGAATCTTCAACAACCTTGTACCTCCACCGTCTTCTCCATCCAATACCAACGACCCAATTCGACCAGCACTAATAATCATAATGTCATAATGTCCTAATGATAATGTTGTCCATGAACCTCATAATTTCCCCTTTGAATCATCCATTATTAATGGGAATATTCCTGCGCCCAACTTTTCTTCGTCCTCTTCTGCCTGCATCAAGAACAACAACTATAATGATTGCTCATTATCTTCCCTTGTTGGGTTTTCTGAGAATATTGACCACAGATCATCATCATCATCATCATTGTGGGTTTCTCGGGATGATATTGCTGAAACTGACCAGATCTTGAGATCAGCTCAGACATTAATGCAAGGAGATATTACTGAAGCACAGTTGGAACAAGAGAAGGAGAAGAGCAGTACTAATAATATAGACCAAGTCAGAGAGGAGGACCATTTTAATAATAATAATAGTAACTGTTTGGAAGGGTCAAGCAATAACTTTGATTTTGGGTTGTTGGAAGGTGTACTTAACTCTGAATATATGTCTTATGACGTCCTCTCCTCCATGGATGATCTTGCATGGAACTTTTAGATCATGCACCCCTCTTTGACATTCCTTTTAATTTTGTTTATATTTCGTCATTGTAACTAAATTTCTCTTATCTGTCAACTTAATTGGGAGAAATATTTGTGTATCACATAACAGGTACTCTATACAAAATACTTTAGACGAAATATTCTTCAGTTAATTATTGTCATTTCACATGTAACATTTGTAAATTACACTATGCATTTTTTTTTTTAATTTGCGCGGAATCTTCCCCCTTTTCTTTAACTCAAGGACCTTCCAATTTATATAAGGCTTGAAATACATGCATATAATATAACTTGGCATATCGGGTCGCGAATAGAAAATTAATTGGTTGAGTTGATTGGATATATGGTGTAATATACTGCCTGATTGGTAGTTGAGGGCAGAATTTGCTCCTAAATATAATATATTGATTCATTTTATCTTTCTATTTATTATTTTTTAAAGACTAATTTATCTAACTTATAAAATGATACATTTAATTTGATATTATACAGGAGTATTTTAGTGTTATAATTTATTAATCTATTGGATTTTCTTAATTATCTAAATTAATTAAGTATATAGTTTTTTACATTAAAGATAGGAAGGAGCGTGTATAATATAGATATATATAGATGTATATAAGCGGTAATTAATGCACGTACGTAAGAGACTAACATTGATGGCAAGAAAAATTGCTTGCAAGAAAGGGGAATGAAAGTTGCATGTCATGGATTGTGGGACATTTGGTTTGGAGTTGGTAGATAACTGAGTTTACTTTTTAGACTACACATGTATTCTTGGACAACCACATGTCTTCGTTTTAAAGTACATACGTTCCTACATTCTTATAAAACTCCATGCCAATGTAGTTGTTGCCCCAAAGAATATTTTTAAATTTTAAATCAATCTTATTTATTACATTTTAATAATAATCGATAAGATTTGAAAAACAAATAACAATAAATTTTTATAATTATTCCTGATTTGAGATTTTAAAATTTCAGAAGTATTTTTTTAGGATTTCCCTTTATATAAAGATAGATAAATGAAAAAAGGTTTTGAAATATACTTCGAAGTTATACAATTTTTCGGAATAAATTATCTATTTGTGGGTTGTGACTATAGGTCATCTCACGCTAAAATAAATTATCCATGTTTTTTTTTTCCTTAAGCACAACTATTTTTTTACCGGATGTAATCCTGTTCGAGGTATTGTCAGGTACTAAAATAATGTGCACACTTCTTTCATTGGCTTGTGATGTTGTAAGAGACTAGCCTCTTTTACTATTTTTAACTTCCATTACTATCCAATTTCTTTTTGGGAAAATCCCAGAAAAAGCCCCTGGAATATACCAAATCCTAGATTTGGTCCTTAAATTTCGAAAATGACAGAATGGGTCATTGGCCCAATCTGTCATTTGTGAAATTCAGGCAAATTGACATTTTTGCCCCTGAGCAAAAGTGAGTAGTTATTCTCTAAACAAATCTAGGTAACGCTTACACTGTTCTAGTAATTACAAGATTCGTTGTAGTTAATAATAAGGTACATGACAATAATAAGATACCTGACTATGAAAAAATGAGTAGTTATTCTCTACACAAATCTAGGTAATGCTTACATTGTTTTAGTGATTACAGAATTAGTTGTAGTTAATAACAAAACACCTGACTATAAAAAAGTGAGTAGTTATTCGCTACACGAATCTAGGTAACACCTAAACTCTTATAGTGATTCCTTGAATCATTGTAGTGAATGAATAAATGAGGGCAAAATTGTCAATTCGCCTGAATTTTACAAATGACAGATTGGGTCAATGACCCATTCTGTCATTTTCGAAATTTAAGGACCCAATCTGGCATTTCTCATATTCCAAGGACCTTTTTTGGGATTTTCCCTTTCTTTTTTATCCATGGTTCTACGCTCTATGGCTAGTGTGGCCTTTGAATGGGCTCCCCTTATCGGTATCCATCTTTTTTTGTTTTTGGTGTATTTTTTTTATTCATGGCTCTACGGTTAGTATGGTCTTCGAATGGGCTTGCTGCATCAGCATATGATGAGACGTAGGCCCAATATGGTGTAAAATTCGCGTCAATGCAATCTTGGGCCAACTATATATACGTGTGTTAGGATCTTGGGCTTTCTATGACCCATTTTTTATGGGCCTAGGTTCCATCCCACATGGCTGTCAAACGTTGGGCCTTTCATCATGAACAATAGACGGCTGGATTTTCGTCAATCGGACGGCCAGGATCTCGTATACCTTGAGGAAACTTTCAGGCATCCTTAACGCCGTCGCGTTTTCGTCTGTGGGAGACGTGGCTTTACGCTGCACGTTGATTGCGTTAATGGTCACGATGAAGAATCGAACAGCGCCCAATTCTTCCGCGAAGAACGCCGAAGCCGAATGCAAGGTTTTTTTTTTTTTTTCCTAACCAGCAAATGCAATGGCTTATTCTCAATCTCAATGCGAGGTAATCTTACTTTTAGACAGTAAATAATTTGTTATCTTATTTTTTTCTGTACATATGATGTGATATTAATCAACCGATGTTTGAATCCATGCTTTATATGGAGATTATGATAAGTTACATTATTATTATGATTTATAATTATGAATAGCAGTGTTAATTTTTTTCCTTTTTTTTTTTGGATAAAGATGGCGGTGTTAGTTTTATAATATGCAAATATATATAGATATATATTGAATTAATTAACATATTTGTCCCTAAGCTATATTAACTAACAATAGGACTGAATATAAACATTTATTAATTTCTAACAAATACCTGTATAACATGTGATAGTGTAGACGTATATGATATGTAATAGTACTGTGTTAATTGATCCTAATTGACGGACTTTTTTTTTCTAATTAATGTGAATACCTCATTGGCACGTCATATAATATCCTAAACATATCCATATATATATATATATATATATTTCAATAAAAAGTAAGATACCATTTACTCGATATTATTAAATTTAAGATGCTAGTTGCTTCTCCATAAATATTTTACAGGCAAAAATAATGTTCCTTAACTCAAAAATTTTTCCCATCAAATGTGCCACATGTCAATCAAAACTTGTAGGGTCTTCTCACTTAATTAACAATCAACTTATCGTACTCTGTTACTCTGTTACTCCATAAGCACATAAGCAGCCTGTGATTTTGACTCTTAAAAAGGGAAATATTGTTCCAACGAGTAGTTTAGAATAATCAGTATTCCTCACAAAAATAGTTTAAAGGCAAAAATGAAAATTAACCATATATAGCACAATAAACTTTGCTAATCCATTTTCATTCAGAAGCAGATCAGGAAAAAGATCAGATACATGAGTAACATTATGTAAGGCTATATGGAGAAAAAACAAAATAAATAAATAAATAGGAATATAAAAAACCCCACCCCCAAAATAGAAAACAAAAAGAAAATTAAAAAAAAAGAAATGAAAGAAATATAAAGTGAGGGGAAAAAAAAAACATATGCATGCGAGCCCCCTTGACTCAACATACTCCTATTTAGTACATTATAAATATATATATGGCGCCCTTCTTGGACTTGACAAAACTAATAACAAATCCAAGATCACTTTGTGTTGTGATTTGAGCCAACACAAGTATACCTTTGTGTAAATGATTTTTTTTTTTTTTTTGGTGCTTTACTTTTGAGTATGCATCATATATAGCTAGGGTTAGTACGTACGTATTATAATATCAATCTAACATAGAAAGAGGCAAAGACTTATTGTCTTGATGAGAAGAACACAAGGAGATGATCTCTTCTAGAGTCCCACTCATTGTACCACAGCTCTTGTACTTGTGATCATATACCATATTGCAGTCATTCATCATCATTTGTTCTGGCTTCATTAATGGCTTCGTCTCCGTCGTGGTCTCTACGAAACTTGTCTGAGGGAAATCTTCAAGCTCCAGTGGCGGATATGAAAGTTGATAGTGCATGCCAGCATACATTTGTAGCTCCATTTCCTGCAACAACATGAAGTGATCTCAGAACTGTTCAAGTACTTAATTACTAATCCTGATATAGTGTAATTAATCCTGGTTATTCTTACTCAGATTTGAACTTTTCTTATGATCTTTCAAGATTATTACTCCTAAGAGTACCAGTGACACACACACATTCTTGGGTACAACGAAGAGAAGGAAGAAGTATATGACCTAGAGAATGATTTCACTGAAAGCATGCATGGTCAATAACTTGAACTAAAGAGCCACTTAGATTTAGGTTAAGTGGGGTGCAAAAGGTGTTTATACTTAAGACTTAAAAAAGTGGGAAGTTGAGGAAAACGAAGTCCCCAATCAGATGCATAGATAGTGCTATTCTATGTAAAAACTAAAATAAAAGTAGCTCATAAAGAATTTTGAATGTTGTGTAAAGCTAGCAAGCTAGCTAGTCACTGAACGTTAATCGAGAGAGAGAAAAGAAGTGGCTCACTTCATATCTCATGATTTAAGAGAAGAAGAATTGTTGATAATAAATGAATAGCTTTTGCTAAAATAGGCCAAAGACCTAGCAGCCACTGATATAAAAAAGAATGTGACTAAAGATAAAGATGAGTCTACTAAGTTTGAAATGCCGTAAATGCTTTAGTTTTAGAAATCAACGTATCAATTTGATGATCATGAACTTATTAAATGGGTAAGGGGAAGAAAAATATGTATTCACTTTGGAAAACGCTTAATTTTGAGTCAGTCAAAAAGAAAAGAAGTTATGGGAGATGGTGAAGAAGGGGAAAGCCAATCATATTGGAGTATATATCAGTCCAAGTGAATTTTTGAGAAGGAAGCTTTACGAAAAGATAGGAACTTCATCATACTCGCAACTTTTGTTACTTTAAGATCAAAAGAGCGCTCAAAGACATGTAATGTGGGCCACTAGGTATATATAAATATAAAATAAATCAATCTATTGTAAATTTTTGTTTGGGCTAAAGATCTGTATGTTTTACGCATTTATTATGCATTAATTGAGGTGTGAAAGGGACGTTTCAAAGTAACAAAGCAGAAATGTAAAGCAAAAACATAGTTGGAAATGCAGGATAGGTAGAGAGAGTAATCATGGGCATAAATGGCATGAAAGGGGAAAAAAAAAGTCAAATATACTGTAAGTAAATCATCATAATAATGCTCATCATGATAATAAATTTATTTACGTATTTTTATAAATTAATTTATAATTAATATGAGTTATTAGAAAAAGGGACAGCTCACAGTATGACAAGACGTCCAGTAAGAAAAATAGAATGAAGAATGAGACGTAGATGGGTTTCACTTTGTCCAACTCCTCTTTCTTTTATCTTATCTATCTTTCAAGCTCGACGATATATATTAATTATTCTAAGTTCCGATATACTTAATTAAGAACTCATCATATGATAATCTTGCTACATATAGCCCGGCATGCATTTTTGTTCCCAGCACACATATGAAGGATCATGCTACCTATATATATATATATATATATAGCGACCATGATAACAAGATCAAATGCTGGACATCTATGTGAACAGATTAAAGAGAAATTTCAATCATAAATAGATACCTGAAATAGATTTGATGAATAATCAATTCCAAGGGAATACCGATTTGCTGCACTATTTGCTTCATCAGAAGCAATTTGGGCTTGAAAATCATTATCTGCTAACCCAGTTTGATCAGTGGGGGTCCCTTGAGTGAGATCCGAAGACGAAGCATTATCACAAGGAAATTTACTGTTGGAATTGCCACCATCGTGATTATTATTTTTATTGACCATAGTTTTCTCATCTGGAATTTCCATTTCTCTAGAAACCTCGAAGCCACTTGAATCCTCCCTTAATCCTTGTTCATCTGCGACCCACATGTCAGACTTTGATCCCTTGTTCTTATTAGCAGTAATTTCTGTTTCCTCTTCCTCCCGATCTTCTTTTGGTTTTGGGATTTCGATCGTCTTCTTGAAGACACGACACAATGAATAAGAATCCTGTGATGTACATCCCATGATGTGTCAGAGATCGTAAATAAAATTATATATTCATGTGACTTCACTAACACCAATATCATAAGCTTTTGTTTGAGTAAAACCATGGTTTTGCCTTTAATCAGCCACTTAAGCTTTAGGTAAAAACTGTATCTCTATAGCGTAAACTTTTGGTGATGTTTTTGTTCATGAACGTGATGAATCCGGGAGAGAAAAGAGTAATATGAAAAAAGCAAGTTAAGAAAAAGAGAATGGGAAAATCAAAAGAAAAGGGATGCAACAGTAAGAACACTCTTCATCATCATGTTTGATCGTAACCTAAATATATATTCTTTGTAAAGAGAAAAGAAAAATAAAGTTTGCAAATCATAAAGAAAAAGATCATTGTAAGAATATCAGTAGTGGCATGTGCATCCTTGTAGAACAAGATTCAAAACTTTGATATATAGGAGTTTGCTATATGCTCTACATATATTCAGGTTCCATATTCATGAGGGGTCACAGATCAATATCTTAAAGTGCTCATAAAATCTTCTGCGAGCTAAAGACCAACTTAACAAAGACTAAAGCAACACCGAACTTCAGGATCTTGTCTTGTCCGGTCTTTAGATCGTGATTAACTTTTGTGGCTTTTTAGGGTTTCTTCTACCATCGATTCAGTCATTATATAATTATTATCCCTAGACTTGCACAGGAAAAAAACAAATCCAATTCCAAGCTTACTGTGCTCCTAGATGCGGAACAACCAAATATAATATTCATACATTGTAAGGCTTGTTATATATCAACTCCCTTAATTATTTTTCAAAAACCCTAGTTTGGTTTCAGTTGTGAAAAAACTCACTAGATTTTTATAAGTCATTAACCATGATGCTTCAAAAGTTAAAATGTATGTTAGCATACTTACAAATTAATTTGCAGTTAGACACCACACATATATATGCTATGTAATTGAAGAAGGAAGAAGGAGGAGGAGAAAGAAAGAGTAGAAAAGAAAATGTTTGACGAAAAGACCTTCAAGGAGAAGGAAGAAGTAGAAGGAGGAAGTGAATCAGTGAGACGATATTCGTGCATGACCCAGCTGGTTCTGATACCATGTGGTGCTCTTCCTCTGTAATAAACCAATGTCTTCTTCATCCCTACTTGGCGTTTCTGAGAATGAACTGCCCTATCTTTGCCTGTGGCTTTCCAGTATCCAGCTCTTGTTGCTCGGTTTGTTCTTGACCCATTTGGATACTTTCTATCCCTCGGACTGTAGAAGTACCATTCCATATCCTTACTTGGCAAGAACGACTTATCTGTTTAAATTTTTATCAGTTTTAAACAGTTAACAAACAAACTCCAAGTTAAGAACCATTATACATGTTGAGAAACTCCTATATATAAAACTCCTTTGGTCGGTACTAATCGAGGCCATTATCGAAGAAATGTCTTATTTATAGAAAGAACGACTATATAAAAGATAGATGTACCTGGCAAATCCCATGGTTCGCATTTGTAAAGATCAACTTCAGGGATAATTTCAAGCTCTATAGAACGGCCTGTGATTTTTCTTTCCAAGTAGTAAGCAACGAGTTCTTCATCCGTTGGGTGGAACCTAAACCCGGGTGGGAGACTCATCGGTGCCATTCTAACTGTAGAGAGAGATGGGTAGAGAGAGAATGGAATTTGGGAAATGAGTGGCAGAAGATGTGAGCTAAACTAGAATGTACGACACAGAACTAAATAGGCCACTATTGAGCCAGAAGTCTTATGAAACTACCCTTGAAATCCAAGCATATTACTTAAATTTGTACGTTAAAAGCGTACTGATATCTGGCGGACTGAGCAATTACGATGGGAACTGAGGGACAAGAATGTAAAATAAAGGGACCGTCATAGGGTCTTTAGAATAGAATCTAAGAGCAAGTAAGATGGTACTTGCATGTGTGAAAACCCAGAGAGAGGATAAGAAGCTTCTCTGCTTTTGTCTGCTCACAAAATAACAAAAATCAAAGGCCTTCTTAAAAGGCTGTGTGGGCCTTGACGGACCGTCCATACTCTACAACACGCAATACTATGCCTGTTTCTGTATTAAATAATCACGGCTGTATAGAATATTACACTACTCTCTGCAGTATTCCTTAATCATCACCATTACTATATTATATGGGTATCTTGGACGTAATATATTTGACGTACATGTACTATTATATTTGATATATCTGGACGTCGATCTACAAAGCATTTGCTGTTTTAGAATACCATCATTATATTCTTTGCATCTCATGCAAAAGTAGCAGAAGGCACAGAATCCCTTACGTTCAGTAACATCGGCATGCGAGGTTGATTTTTTTCCCCTTATTGAGGTTACCTAGGATCAATGAGATCTAGCTAGTATTAGTTAATTTGAACTGCTTTTGCTCTAGTTTTTAAAATTTGCTTTGGATTATATATATATATATATATATGTATGTATATTAGCCTACCTGGGCATTTTTCCAATAGTTTTCCCAAATGAAGATGACAATTATTATTCATGATTAATGAATGAATGAACCATTTTGTTCACGGGGATCGAACCCCACACACTATCAGACTAATGAACCATTTTGTTCACGGGGATCGAACTCCACACACTATCAGACTAATTCAAATTCGATTGAAGAGGACCCTTTCAGGTGGAAGCTCTACTACCTGTAAGTTTAAACTTGAGACCTCTAGTTAAATTGGAACAACCTTTTTACTACTTGATTCAGGCTATCGGTGGTATCCAACTATAAATAGTGTTTAGGTGTTTCAAGATATGATCTCCTTAGGAAATAATGTCCATCAAACAAGACTTGGACTCTAATTAACAAGTTCGCTAATTAAGCATTAAACCACCAACAGTATCCAGAAAATTAATCTCGACCCTTTTGTTACATGTTCAAAGAAACGTTGCAAGCTCATAAAGCTCATAAATCATGTTCCATGCAAGCACATGAATATGCATGGACCTCACTCCAAGATCAACTGGCTCTGAACTTAATCATGAATCTAAGTATAAAGCAGATCTAGTATCATAAACTAAGATAATACAGCAAGGTAAAAAAGGAAAGTGACAGCGTAAAGCGCGTAGAAACATGTTACTAGTAATGTGACATGTTGCAGAATTTGCTGATTAATTAACTATGATCCAATTAAAGCTGCAAAATAATTAATCGCAATATTCCTTCCCGAACATACACTTATTTAACAATTATTAATGCATATCGCTTCATGCTTTAAGTATAACACATACGATTAAAAAAATGTAGTGTAATACTGAATCTGGCTTTGCTTTGCCTTTTTCTATTACGCGTTGGCATACGCGGTGCTGTATTTTAATTTAATAGAAGATATATACACTTGGACTAGCAGAAATCGAAGCCATCATGATCATGTCTAATTAAAGTAACAGTATTAAAGCTTTGATCAAGACCATTTAGAAACATAGACCAGAAAAAGTACGACAAGATTAACTTATTGGATTTAAACAATGTCTAGCTCTAACATCAAGAAATTCTTACCAAATACAGGTTTGAATTGAAATATTTAAATTTGTATATCCATCTAAGTCCTATTTTAACAAAAAGCGATAAAAGAATTGTGTTCAATGTCATGAGTATTCTAACTATTGGTTCATCACTAATTGCGATTCGTTTATGTAATTATTATAGAAATTATGCGTCTCTAATCCTTTATCTATTTCTTATTTTAGAACTGGAACTAATACAATTTTCAGTGATCAAGAACTCTTTTCCTCAAGATATGGTATCTATACTCATAAAATAAAAAATTGTAGACCAACAAACAATAAGATCATGTATAAGTTCTCTCTCATGAGATTATAAGAGAAAATTATATAAACATGAAATGTTTTGTAAAACAAACTATATTGAAATCATACAGATAAAATTAATTAAAAAAGAGATCAAAGTATGTAGAATGTAGAGAGATGAGTTGGGTGGGGTCCCTGAGATATATAATTAAGTGTAATTTGTAATGGGCGGTTGGTCTTTAATTTTCAGAGGAAGAAGGGGAAAGAGCCCTTTATGAAGCATAAGATGGGGGGCTTAAGGTAGGGGCCCAACAGCATCTGAGCAAATCTACCTGTCAAACTGTCACTGTCTCTTTATCTTTAATATTTTCTGCCTCCTTTAATTTTTTTTCCTGCCATCCAAACACACTTTTTCTTTACTGTTTCCTTTGTTCCTTCTCCAATGCCTTTCCTTAAAATATCATTTTCATTTGGGTAAAGACATACTCGTCTCTTTAATCATTACTACCAAAATCTTTGACTGCCCCATGCTCCTCTTCCTCTTCCCACTCTCTCACTTTTCTCTCGCGCAATCACGCACAAAAACGGCAAGTTCACTAAACACTCGTCACTGATAATATATTAAGCAAGTGAAAATTCTCTACCTTTTAATGTAAAAGAATTAGTAAAGGATCTGATTTTTAATACTTTCAGTCCTAAATGTAGGACCTAATAAATAGGAAAAAAT